TTTTTATATAAATAACCTCTACACATGCTGTTGAGAAAGCAATGCAAAAATTCAGGGTCTCTCAAGAATCTGCTCAGATCTAATCCTCTCCATAAATTAATTGCCTGGTCCTCTAGAGAAAAGAGGAGCTGGCAACACAATACAAACTAGACAAGCACCTGCTCCCTTCCAGAAATCTCTGCATAAAATATACCCACGGAGGGGGCAGCCGGATTAGGAGACTTTGAGCTGCTTAAATCCTGCAAAGGTGCCCGGAGAGCAGGTTAATAGGAGGAGCTGGAGACACTTCAGGCTGGGCAAAGGTCCAGACTTGCCGATCCTGGGGAAGGACATGGGATGCATATGATAGCATCCCACTGATTTCTAACCCCCCATCATGGATATGGGAGGGCTGCGAGGGTAGTTTGGCCTGGCTCCTGTGCTAAGGGTGTATTTTATCGTTAACCAAATACCAACAGAAGGGTTTCTGCCTGAAATCCTGACTGGGAAGGGAAGAAGCATGCTGAAATAACACACAGCTCCTTCATAGTCATAAGTTTCTTAGGATCTATACCTGTGCCAGTGGTACTTTTAGTTTAATTTAAAGTGTTTATGTTTATTTTGAAAGCAGTTTTTTTTTTTTTAGTTCAATTAAAATACATGAAACAAGTATCTTGCAGACTTGAGTGTGTTAAGCACAGTGGGGGCTGGTTTGGATAAAGATGGATCTTTGTAGAGGGTGACTTATCTTTATCTAATATCCAACTGAATTAACAATAAAGGCTGGAAAATATTGTTTCTCTAATTTTTTTTTTTTTACTTTAGTATCTTGGCCAAACCACGTGTTGTTTGTTAACTGAGTACCTCTAATCAGATCAGTCCACGGCTGGGCTCAAAAATTGCTCCCAAAGAGTTGAAATTTTCAACACAAACAAATGTACACACCTCCTCCTTTTACAAGCAGAGACTGACGGGGCTGGTGCCTTGCTAGGCTTTTTCTGGTTTTTTAAAGGCCAGAGGAAACCTCCCTGCTCAAAGGGTTTCAGAGCTTTAAAGACAGCAGATCTACAGGAGGGCTGAAATGAAGGGGAGCTGCGTGGCCGGTCGGGCTTTACCCTTTTTTTTTCCTGCCTGCTCCCAGGTAGCCTCCCCGAGACCATTGGGCTAGAAAACTTTAATCCAAACCATTTTCCATTTTAAAAGGTCATTATTTTTTTTTTTTTTGCGATGACGTTTGCAATCTGACTGCTGTGGGCTGCTTTGGTGAAGGGTTCTGCTGCAACAACCTTTAACCGAAGCAAACTGTTCTGTGGGAAGTTTTGAAGTATTAAAAAAGTCCTTATTTTTATATGGCTTTCCTCATTTTTCATGCTGTGTCAGAGCAACAGTGAATGAATTGATTGAGGGTGTGCTTTGTCTCATGATGTAGCACTGCTAAAAAAACACCAAAATATTTGTTCCATTTCGCTTCTGCTTCTACTTAGCACAGATTTATTTTGTAAAACTGTCTCCTATCTGTGCTGCAAGGAAGCAGTTCGACACTGGTATAACAGAAAAGAAATGCTCCCTGTACTAATCAGAAGAGCAGCTGTTTTCAATAACTAAGAAAAATTATTCCAAGGTAACATAAGGCCATAAAAAGCAGCTGCTTCTTTAATTAGGATGTTGAGGGCTAAATCTACAGACAGATTTGGGTGCCTTGCTAGCAAAAATGTACTGGAGCCCTCAGTTAGGCAACTAAGTCCTCTGTAAAACCAGGGGAGAGCGAGGGATGTCGGATGGACGGATCCTGAGCAGACACGACTCCTTGCTGCAAGCATTCTTCTAGCCTCAGGGATGAGAGTGTGCTGGTGGGAAGGAAAATCATTCTTGATGCTTTGATAAAGCCCCTAACTGATACAGCTTTGCTTTATACCATCGCTTTCATCTCAGAGTAATCAAAGCACCTGGAGTGGGGTCAGGGCAACGCTGATCTCACTCTTGCCCGGCACAAATTATGCCATAATGAGCCTTAATGAGATTACAAAGCTGTTCTGATTTCCAGAGAAAAACCACCTCTCCTGGTATTTTTCATGCTTTTTCATTGCTGTCTCAGATACCACACAGATGCTGCAATATTAGCACTTATTTCCGTAATTTTGTTGGCAGGGCTGTGGTTTTTGCCCAGAGGAACATCAGAGGCACTGCCCTACACCGAATAGTCTGGGTCTCCCTGCCCTTCTTGCTCTTGTTCTGTGGCTTTCCAGATGCCCGGTGTTCCTGAGAGCCACCGCTTGCTTTCAGGCATCTCCTCTTGCTCACCAGCTGGGCAGAGTTTGCCCCAGAACGAAGCCCACCTGCAAAGCCTGAGGGCTGCTGAGTGGGTTAATAAAAGGGACAACAGCACATTAATTGGGGGGGTTGTGTCTTTTGGGGAGTGGAGAGTGTGCCTTGGTGGTCTTGGCTGGTGGAGGACAGCTCATCCTTGGTGAGGTTCTTTCTCCTTCCCTCCTGCATTGATGTGATGTGTCCTAGGCAGCAGCCAGGTAAGCGAGCGCTTGCTGTTACAGACCAGTTTGGATGAAAAAGGTTGTGCTTCAGTGAAGGCGTGCTGGCTTCAAGATAGAAATTCATAATGGGTTTGAAAATGTGATATAATAATCCACATTCAGGTATTTCAGCTGAAATATATCTTGTTTTTTCAGAGATCTGTAACTTTGCTTACAACTCCTTGGCTGCAGAAAGCCTTTCTTGAAAGGAGAAAAAAACCCCACCTTTAGATGAGAATTAAAATGGATTACAGTGTGATCACTGCCAGTTACCCTGTATGCTTGTAAAACGCTGGAGCTTCTTAATAGGGGATATTTATCAAGCGGTGCGTAGGCTGGTATTGTTTTCTAGATATAGGCACTGTTATTTATTTGTAGTAAGAGCTCTGTCACGGTTTTATGTGCCCTGTCTGCAAAGCTGAACCTCTGAGGCTGGAGCTTCAGAAATGTTTGTTGAAATTGTTTCAGAATGGCAGAGTACTACGCCATGCAATGGTTTAATTTCACAATGAAAAGGGTTTGCTCTTGCATGGCGTTGTAAGGTCTGATTTAACAACAG